AACCGCCCACCGGAAAAAGAGAAAAGAGGCGAAAAATCCCTGGGCTAGGTTGGCAACAACACCGTCAAGCAGTGTGGCGCGGGCCGGGCCGGGCCGGGCCGGCTCTGCTCTAGAGTGTCCCCGCTACTTGTCTGCGTGCAGAGCGGCGGAGCGCGCCGACCTGTCGCAAAGTGAGTGATTTACTGCAACAGGAGTTGAGGCCGTCAGACGGCGGCGGCGGGGCCGAGGAGCGGCCCGCGTGGCGTCATCCTCATCCCGTGGCATCATCCTTATCCCATGGCGTCCTCGCCCTCGTCCAGTGGCGTCCTTATCCTCATCCCCATGGCGTCCTATCTACTCATCCCCATGACGTCCTCACCTCATCCCAGGGCGTTCTTGTCCTCACCCCCATGGCTTCCCTGCCTCATTCCATGGCGTCCTCGCCCTCATCCAGTGGCGTCCTTATCCTTATCCCCATTCCCATGGCGTCCTCGCCCTCATCGCCACGGCATGGCATCCCGGCCTCCGCCACATCCGCCAGTTGCGTCCGCCCGAGGGGTTGCTCACTGGCCCCGATGGCTGGATACAATACATCGAAAGTGAAGGAGTGAAGGGTCAAGGTTGACTTTGTGACTTTTTCCGACCTGGTGCTGGCTCTTGGCGCATCCGAACAATCCCGACTGGAGAGGCTGGAGATCTCAAACGAACTTGAAGGCTTCCCCCAGATGCGGTCGCTGCTGGCGTCGCTGCCCAGGATGCCGGCCTTGCAGTGCCTGGACGTCTTGGCCCGCGTGCCGGACCAGTTCCTGATGAGCATTACTCCGGGCGCGGCACCGGCCCTTCGAACGCTCGAGGTGTTCTCCAGCTCTGTGTGCGCCCACCACTTCCTGCACAGAAACGCGGTCCAGAAGGTGCTGTCCTTGAACCCCCTGCTGCAGTTGTTTGTGTACCTGCCCACTTACTGTCGTAAGAGTAACCTCTGCAAGTTCTGCGCGCGGGGCTGCCATCAAGTGCTGCCTGACCATGACCCTTCCTATCACGACGACATGACAGAGGACGAGTGGAACTTCTCGGAAAAGTCAGTGCTCATCCCTCGGTCAAATTAAGTTATAAACCTCCGATGTGGTTTCTTTGCAAGTTAAATTTTCCACTTAAAAATGTGATAAATGATATGAGTTTAGGATATTTTGATGTGTTTTGTTTTTCCTTGTCTTCCACTTAATTGTACTTTTATTAAAACAAGATTTCTCTTTGGATTTTTCTTTTTATCCTACCTAATTAGAAATTATATCCATTTAGAGCCTCTTTAAAGTGAAAGGCTTTGATAACAAGCCTTTCAAAAAAACAATATTAACATCGCCGCTTTGTACATGAGGTGGGTCTTGGAGTTCATACCAAAAATTGCTGCAAGAATAATGGTGAGCTCAAAACATACACCTCTCTTCGATCCATCCCGCTATGTACAACAATTTTTTTGAGTTTTTCTACGAAATATCAAATAATTATGTTTGATAACCATCCAAATCTATTCCTGGATCTAATATTGCAGTTTAAAATACACGCAACAAATCAAAACTTTGTTACAGGTATTGATGAAAAGGAAACGACTCAGAAAGCGTAACTTGAAATAGACTACTGACTGTTGTCAACAAAAGATTCATGGCTAAGGTAAAAGGGCGGGGTGCCTCGTGTCCAGCCGCCATTTCTACGTCGATCCACTCTAGGGCATTTCTATCCGATTTGCGGTCTTCGCATTAATGAGTGGACGCGAACAGCATCTTGCAGACGACGCCGGCCGAGATGGGAGTGGGGGAGCAGGCGACCGCCCAGCGCAGCGCCAGCAAACCATCTTGCCAGGCACAGACAAAGACAGTCGTGTGGGTGTCGACTGGACGTTGATGTGCGCCGTGCGAGATCACAACAGAACAGCCCGACACCGACTCTATCGTCGCCTTCCATTTTGATCGGAGGTAAGTGAGCCCCGGTGAACTAGTCGAGATTGTAGTATTGCAGTGCTCAGCACTCAGCACAACACGTGTGCCGTGCGCCGTGCACCCGGCACTGCTGCGAGTGGCTTGTGTTTCCATAGTGCGACCGACGCGCGCTGACCGCTGACCTAACCGCCGTGCACTTTCCTTTCCTGTCCCCCGCAGAGCATGGAGCAGCTCCCCGACGACGTGCTGCTGGAGGTCATGCGGCACCTGGACGTGCCGGACTTGTTCGCCTGCCGCCTCGTGAGCAAGAGACTCGGGAGCCTAGCCCTCCATGCTGACGTGTGGCGGCACCGACGCTTTGGCAGCGACTACAAGCACTTCGGCTGGCAGTGCACCGTGCTGCGCCTGGCACCGTGCTTGGACGCCCTGAGCGTCTACGCCCAGGTGCCGACGGCGGAGACGGGGTGTCTGCAGGCCACGACCACGACGAGGTGCGCCGTGGCGAGGCTGGAACTGTCCGTGTTCGAGGGCGGCGCCATGCTCGCGGCCGCGATCATACGTCATCAAGAGGCGCTCGGCCGGCTGAGGCGCCTGAGAATCTATTTCTATGAAGTCTCTCAAGCCGAAGGCGTCGCCCTCTTGGCGACGGTGGTGCAGACGTCGGGCCTGACGAAGCTTGATTTAGAAGAACAACCATCCTGCCGCTCGCTCGTGGAAAGCATGCTTCGACACACCGCCGTACCTGTTGTGTCGTCCCTGAGGTCTTTTCGTTGTAGCAGTTTTTCCACGTTTACGGAGCATTTTGTGCACTTTATGCTCCGCGTGCACGCCGCTACTCTGGAGGAAGTTTTTCTCGACGGCCGGCTGCTTTCGACCTCAACGCTGACCGCGCCACTGCTGTCCGGGATGCCTAATCTTCGCCAACTCAAGTGCACCCTCGTGCCAGAGCTGAACGCCTTGGCTGCGTGCGAGTCGCTGAGGGTCGTGAGCTTCACAGTCCGAGACGAAATGCGGTCTGCCGCCGCGGGGCGCTCGGCCCTCGCCCTCCTCAGCCATTCCACCCAGCTGCAGGAGGTCGAGTTGTCCTTCCTTCATTTCACTCGCAGCCCCGAACCTGACGTTCTACGCTTCTTCGGGGACTTCATTTCGGCGCTGGCCTCATCAGGACGGTCGCACTTGAGGTCGCTGTCGATCCGGGCCAGCGGCATCTCTTGCGACAGGAAAGAGCTGCAGCCGCTGTGGGACGCGTTGCTCGCCGCGCTGCCGTCGCTGCCGGCGCTGCGGCGCTTGGCTGTCGACGCCCCGTCGGACGCGCTCCTGCTGGGCATCACCCCCGTCATTGCCCCGGCCCTACAGAGGCTGCTGCTGGGTCCGTGGCCTCTCCGGAGAAGGGAATACCTTCGGTGCGCACACGCCTGGCTGCATATGGACGCGGTCAACCACCTCCACGCTGTGAACCCCTCGCTGCAGTTGCTTGCCCGTGCCAAGCTCGACTACTACTGTCGTGGATTGTCGCCCTGTGGTGTGTGTCAACTAGGCTGCCACCTGTCGCTGAGGGACAGCAATTCCATCGAAAAGTATTTCATTTTTGATTTACTTTGGGTCATTATTCCGCGGAACAACCCATGCATGTAACTGCTGTATTGTTACGTTACCAAGATTTTTGTTTTTGTTCGAATTTGTATAGTTTCTTGACGATGAATTTAAATAAATTTTCTGTTTGAAGATGCTTGAACAAGCACTGACCTACTTGCAGCTGATTGTTTTTTTACCTCTTCTTAGAAATTATCCCAAAAAGTTGAATAGTACAGCCAAGAGCTAAATCAGACCCAATAATACATTACCCCAAGTATTTGATCATTTTTGTGTTAACTGGGAGTTGGTTGCGGTGGAGTTTTGGCTGGGGAGCGCAACGCCTGATTAATCTGGGCTCTTCAAATCCGCGCGCGCCGTACGTATTGGTGCCAACATCCCAAAGTGGTTTGAGTTAACAACACAACAACACTACATAAGCATTAGACCAGTTGTAAACATAAATTATAAATAATGTTCACAATTATGTAAACTCAGGCAAAACCGACCGCGGGAAACATTATTTTCAAACTTCGACCAACATAGTAGTTTTTCATATGTGGCAACTGTCGCTCTGTTTCTCATATCAAAGGCAGTCCATTTGAGGTCGTGTAGCTCTGTCCCGTGCCAGCTGTTTCAGATTTTTCAGAGAGTTCAGAGATAACTGTGCAGTTTCAATGCACTACAGTTTTAAGATAGTTTTTGTCGCTTGAACTACTTTTAACACTGCTTAAGGGACTGCAGTGTAATAACCGTTATGTGAAATTGGAAATTCTGACTCCAAAAGGAAAAACAACTTATCAAAGGAAGACTCTCTACTTCTATTGGTCCACGGTAGCGTATTGTCAACGAAAACTGTCAGTGTTTTGTTCTTAAAACCATTAAATAATTGTGAACAATTAAGCAAGTAATATTTTTTTACTAAATTTCCCTGTTGTGGGTTATCTTGCAGTGGATGTTATAACTGCAGGTTATGACACCGTTATGCTCTTAATTCTTCTGTCCATTATATAGGAGTGACAGTCATCAGCAACTCAGACCAAGAGAGGCCATGATGAACCTCCGCAGCCACACCGCGAGAAACAAGGTAGGCCATCACTGAGGGTGCACGAGTCGAGTTCCATAGAACCCGGTGCGGGTCGCTCCGGCAAATGATCTTTTAGTGTATCGAACAGAGAAAGAAAGAGTAGTGTATAGAACGCAAATGGTCCCAATACCTCTTTTTAACTGGCGGGAAAAACACGACTATTCAAGGTCTTCTCTGATCCAGCGATCTCATTCTTCTTTTAGGGTCTTCACTGACAACTTGTGGCCTAGTTTGATTTGTCTGTAAAAGTTCTCCGGGTCCGCCCTGCTGACAGCCCACTCTCCGTGTTTTCGCAGAGTATGGAGCGGCTCCCAAACGAAGTGCTGCTGGAGGTAATGATGTACCTGTCCGTCGAGGACCTCTTCGCCTGCCGCCTCGTGAGCAAGAGGCTTGCGGCGCTAGCCATGCATCCTTACCTGTGGCGGCGGGAGTGGCGATACGTCTCCAGCCACGTCTACAATCGCTCACGTTGCTACGCGTGCCCGGCGCTGCGCCTGGCGCCGTGCTTGACCGACGTGTCCGTTGAAGTCCCGTCGGCGCGGAATACCCCGCTGTACAAGGAGACCAGGTGCGCCGTATCGAGTTTGAGCGTAGGTCTAAAGGAGGGGGCGGCCGGCGCAGCCCTCGAGGCAGCCTTGGTGATACGGAACCAGGAGGCGCTCGGGCGCATGACAAGTCTACACCTATTCATGGACAGTGACGTGGATGCCAGCCAAGCCGCTGTGCTATTAGAGACGGTGGCGTTGGTATCTGGACTAAAGAAACTCACAGTTTTTAATAGTTTCCCGTTATCTGAACCCCCTATAAATGGTGTGTACGGATTGTGGCCGAGGTCATCCCTGACACACTTTTCATCTGAGCTTAGCCCGGAATCGGAGGTATTTTGCAACTTTGTTCTGGCCGCGCACGCCGCCACCCTAGAAGACGTGTCTCTCTATGAAGGGACCTCGACCTCGACGGCGGCGCTTCTAGCTGGCATGCCAAAGCTCCGTGAGCTTGAGTGCTGCGCGCTGCCTGGGATGGAGGCCGTGGCAGCGTGCGAGTCGCTGCGGGAGTTGACACTCCACATCACGAGCGACACAGAGCGCCTCGAGTTGCGAGCGGCCGCGGCCTTCCTGGGCGGCGCCACGCAGCTGCTCGGGGTGGTCCTGGAGTACGACGAAGGCGCTGGCTCCGCGCCCGCCACTCTCGACATGGACTTGATCCTGGCCCTGGCGGCGACCGGGCGGTCGCGCGTCGAGACGCTAGACATCTATACCGACCCTCAAGATGACGACGACGACAACTTCTGCCCTCACGCGAGGTCGCTGCTACAGGCGCTGCCCCACCTGCCTGCGCTCCGGGCCCTGAGCGTGGGGTGCGTGCCTGACGCGCTGCTGCTCGGCATCACTCCCCGCACGGCCCAGGCGCGTAGGAAGGTCCAAAAAGCTGGGGGGGCACGTGTTGTGGGTTGCCTACCCACCAGGCGGAGTTTTTTTT